AAGCTTGAGCTAAAGCAAAAGAATGTGCGTTTCATTTTTGTTTGTGGAGACTAGGGAATTAATAGGAAAGAAATAACATAAGCGCTAAATTTCATGTAAATAACTGATAATGTGTAGTTTTCAAGGGGCACAATGATTCTTGGCAATGGTGCAAGTATCATGCAAAATCCATGTTGGCTGTTACAGTTTCCCTCTTGCTTCTTTGTCAGAATGGGTGCACAAACTGCTCTTTTGGTGTTAACAAATCCTAGCAAATGATTTGTTGCATTCTCTTGTATCCTACTATAGAGATGCAGCTGGCAGGACTAAAGGAGACCAGAGCAAAACATCCGAGGTTCTGTAAATAGCTTTAAAAGGTAAAAAGCTAAAGATTGACAGATTAAAATGGAGTTATGCAAGTACACTGTGTGGATGTAGGTCAGTATGATCTACTGATTATGTGTTAGTGAGGTGAGAATTCATCACCTACTGGCCATAATTTCATGCTCTCTGTAGCCTCAGCTGAACAGACAGCCAGTCAGACATCCTTACATCATCACTACTAAAACTTTCAGGTGTTAGTGGGCTTCAGTGTTCAGCAGAAAAAAACTGGACTAACAAGTCTAGTAAGAATATTTCTTCTTCATATTAAACTGTCTGCTTACTGATTTTTTTTTTTTTAAAACCCTACAGGAAGCATAGCTGATCACGTTCTCATCATGTCTGCTGAAGCTGAAACTACTGCCGTCAACAGCCAGCCTGAGCAACAGGACCCACAGAAAACACAACCTTCAAAGAAGGAAAAAAAGAAAGGTAAGAGATGCTTACCTCTTGAACAACTCCTCTAGTCAGTGTCCTGAATTGTTTGTACTTGCCTGAAACTAAAATGACCCTCACAGCATAGTTAAAATCACTCTACCTATTGGCTTGAAACCTTGGAGTCAGTAAATAAGCTACTGAAATAAATCTGTCCAGCAGGTAGGGTTTTTTTTCTAGCTCTAAATTCTAAAGCTCTCAGTTCTACTTGTTAGGCTCAGCAAATGAGCCACTTAACAAGTTAGCAAAAGCCTGGAAAAGTGAAGCCGCCTGAAGAGGTTACCAGACCTGGGACCACCCATGTAGCTGTCAGTCTGAACTTAAACTTTATTTGTCCCCCTCCTCCAGAGAGGGAGTGATGTACTGGACACAGATACAGATTCTACTACAGAGAAGCTAGAAAACTAATTTAATGAGAATTACTGTAGATCTGATTATAGTTTTTTTTATAGATTAGGTCACGTAAATGTGATGACCTCATAAAGAAATGCACACCTAGGTACACATGCAGATTGTTGATCATGCAGAGAAAAAAAGCCAGAAGTTTGAAGAAGTAGTGGGAACAGCAGAACTAACAAATTAGATAAAATCCCAGGTGATTACAGGGTTAGGGGTACCAGGACTTGATATAATGGTGCTGATAGAAAGTTATAGCACAGCAGCTAGGAGACTTTTGCACACCAAGAAGAAAACTGACAACACCAGAACTTGGAATTAATATCTGAAAGTCTTGCTGAACATTCTGTGTGGCTCTAGGAAGGACAGTTTCTCTGCTTAGTGATTTTGCTTAGCACTTTGCTGTTGCCTATAAATATTTCAGTCTTTTGTGCCAAACGATTATTTTGATGTCCCCAAAATATTAAGAACTGAGCTCCACTCTTTGAACTGAAGCCAGATTCTGCAAGAGCACTGTGACCTTAAAGATTAACTAACTTGCAGTGCACGCAGTACTGGAAAGACTAAGGATTGTTAGTCAGCAGTATTCAAGGGACAGTTTTGATATGCATTTTTGTGGTGTATGTGTCTGTGTTTTTTTTTTTTTTTTTAGAATCTCAAAGCCACAACACAGATGTTTCTCTCTTTGGATTTCTTTCTTTTAAAACTTTCCTGTCTCCAGGGCTAGAAAAGACAGAAGAATGCCTCTTGGCCAGATTCCAAGGTGACGGTGTAAGATACAAAGCTAAACTGATTGGTATTGATGATGTGCCAGAGGCAAGAGGAGACAAAATGAGTCAGGATTCAATGATGAAGCTGAAGGTAAGGGCTTGAGCTTGCATGTAAGGAACAGCTTTTGGGTAGGCTTCAGAAAGCAGATCAAGTGGTCACTTTAGCACAACTTAAAAACTGCTTAATGGTAACGTGGTAAGAACGGCACCATCGTAGATGGATGCTACTTCTAAAGCTGTAACCCCTTGCTGAAAAGAGAATTTCTGTAACAGCTTGAGATTATGTCACTGTTAGGCATCCAGTATGGATGCTAATATTATGAACTTGATCACCTTTAGTGAGCTTTGGGTGGGGAGAGGTTCCAGTTTAGCACAGACCTCAAAGCACAAGTGGCATCCTGTGGCAATAGTGACACCAAGAGATAGATAAGCCGAAGAGTAAGTGAGATCCTACAGCAGCAAAGATGAATACTGTCGGAGTGCAGAAGACTCATAGCTTCAATCCGGCCAAGAAAGCTGGTAAAGATGCTGCTACTGCAGCAGTATCATGAAATAAGGTAAGTTTTAAAGCTCTAGAACACTTGCAGAAGAAACATGATTTAGTTCTCAGGTGTCACTTCAAACCTAGTCAAGCATATGTTACAAGAGGAATGCTGATCCAACTACAGTTGCCTAGGAATAGCTAGATTAGCACTAGTACAGTCACAGCGATGGGTTAATAAGCAAGGTAAGGAAACAAGTTAAAACTTAATCTTACAAGACTTCATCCTCCTTAGGGAATGGCAGTAGCAGCTCGTTCCCAGGGCCAGCACAAACAGAAGATCTGGGTGAATATCTCCCTTGCTGGTATCAAGATAATAGATGACAAAACTGGGGTAAGATATGACTTAGTCTTTTAATGTGATTATGATTCTTTAAAAAAAGTGGGGTGCTTGGAAGTTAGGCCAATCTGAACTAAATTTCACAATGGCATTGTGCCCATCTTCTCCATGTGAAAACTGGCTTGTGAGATGGGGTAATGCTGATGTGACTAAATGACTGCCAGAAAGATAGCTACATCCTATTGTGATTAGTCAAAGGCCGATATATCTGAGTTTTGAACTGAAAACTTCTAACAATCTCAATCATTCTAACTACAGAGGAGAGTAACTATTATCTTTTGAGCAATATAAACTAATAGTTGTGGTTTATTTCAACAATTCTAGGTTATAGAGCATGAGCATCCAGTAAACAAAATCTCCTTTATTGCTCGGGATGTAACAGACTATCGTGCCTTTGGCTATGTATGTGGAGGAGAAGGCCAGCACCAATTTTTTGCCATAAAAACAGCACAACAGGTATGGATTGGACACCCTTTTTCCATTTGCTATGAGTAATACTATTGTGTAAACACTTAACATGTGGTGAAGGGTGTAGTGTTTTGCTCATATCCCTATGAGGTATAGGGGAATATCAGCACAGATGGATAGACTCTCCTCCCAGAGGGCAGGAAATAGGAATTGACTGTACCATCAATGGCTTTTGATAGTGCGGTAGTGCTTCTGTGGCCAGTGAATGGCAGGTCTGGTTTTCCTAGAGTTACTTCTGGGAGCAATTCTGAGTGTTCTGTGCTGGGTTTTTCCCATACAGAAACCTTGTATACAGGGTTTGTATCTCTAAAGAGAATCTGTACATAAGCACTGTTGGACACAAGTTACTTGAAATTACTGAGTATTATGCAACTTTCTTAAAGACCTGAGCTTAGATGTCTAAAATTTATTAACTTGTCATTATGTTTTTCTAATAGTAACTGTAATAACTTGACAGGCCAAGACTTCAGAGCTAGTGATTTCTTTGTACACATCACTGCCTGCACTCCTAGAGAGCCTGTTGTCAGCCTCAGACCTACTACAGGTGGAACTGAGGGTTTCCTTGTTTTAGTAAAAACATAGTAGGCTTAGTACAAATACAGCCACTTTCCCTGTGGAGTTAACAGTTCTAAGCTGGTGATGCTGCATTCTGCAGACAGTCCTTTAAACTCTTGCTTTCCCTGTTATCTCAACCTTACTATTGCACTACTCTTCTGCTGACCGCTTGCCTGACTAGGAAGGTTACTGTCATTGATAGGCAGACCTTTCAGACTGGACAACAGCCAAACTCCTCCCACTGCTCTTACACTAGAGGTCCAAGGTGCCATGCCACTGGAGGGAGGAATAAGTTAATGCACTCACTGACTACAAAAGATGGGCAGAAGGGAGCAAGCTGAGTCAGGAACCATGTTGTGGGAGATGGACTCCTTGTCTGGCTGGTTCTAATTATGTGGAATTTTCCCAATGAGACACTTATCTTTCTCCCTGCCACCTTGGGAACTCCAATCACTATGCAGAGTCAGGGAGCCCTTCTGACAACTGAAATCCTCACACAGCACAAGCACTGTGTAGGCAGCCTCCCAGCTGCATTGCAGAGTCAGCTCTTATAGAGGTGGCTTTTTCACCCACCTCCAAGTTGATGTGAAAGGTGGAGGCACCTGATGGTGATCTCCTAATCAGTTCCCACCCAAGGCTGGCCAGACCCTGGGTGAAAACCAATCAGGCTTTTTTGCCTGATAGTGGATATTATCCATATGCCAACCCTCACTCAGGGCTGGGGGGTTGACCCCAGCACTTCAACCACTAAGAAGAGTCTAGCTTGCTGCAAAGCTTGCTTCAGTAGATCTCCAAGGAGAAGTAGTACATGGCCTGAAACTTTTTCTTTTTCAGGCTGAGCCTCTGGTTGCAGATCTCAAGGACCTCTTCCAATTAGTATATAATATGAAAAAGAAGGAAGATGACAAGAAGATAGTGAGTAAAATTATGAAAACTGCACTCATATGCATAGAAGTAAAGCTTGCTTCCAGTTTGGCTTGGCCTTTTGGGTCTTGTAAGACTTGATCCTGGATTTAGACAGGACTTCAGTGTCACTTCAAGTTATTTGTTGGTAGTTGTGTCAGTAGTTTGACCTCCTAGATCTGGTAAGGTCTTCAAATTGAAAGGTTTTGGATATTCTACATGTCTAAGTACTAAAAGCATTTTCTTCTTCAGATGGAAGCATTTAAGACTGAGGTAAGTCACTCCCACTTCGCTTCACGTGATTAGGTATGCTGCTGCAATGCAAGTATCTTTGACTTTATTTACACTGCCAGCATTAGGGAGACAATGTCAGATGCCAAATTTTATTGAAGTGGGAGTAAAAGGGGCCTACAGAACTAGTACTGAATAGCCGTCTCCCTCATACTTCCTCTTCCTATAATTTGCCCTTTGAAGCCTGCAAGTTCCTTGCTTAGGCCAAGTTTTGATATTTCAATTTTTGCTGATACTTGCCCATCTGTTACAGAATGGTGATAAGGACCTAGCTGCTGATCAGGCTGATAAAGTGAAATCGGTAGGTTTAACTTTAGAACTGCATACTCATACCATCAAGGAGTTCACACCTGTCTCTGCAGTGTATGGGAGATGCATTGTCTATAGATGTGTTTATAGTAGATCTGCATAATGCTTGATTCTTGTTCTTCCAAGATCTCTAAAAGATACCAATTCTTTCAATATTTCTGATTTCAAGGAAATTGACCAGATGGACCTGTTTGGGGATATGTCAACACCTCCTGATATTAGCAATACCACAGTAAGTAGAATCTAGCTTAGCTGTCTTGGCCTGTACTTTGAGAGCAAACTTAATCCTAGTAATAATACCTGGTTTTACTTCATTAGTCTTGCTTTCTGGTTTAATTGAGACAGCTGTCTAGCCATTCACCAGTGTACTAGTGTTTTAGGGCTATAATAGTACCTACATTGTAACTAGATTAGCTAATGTCATTCTCATCCAGTAGGATTCACTTGAGACTGTGTGACAGAGGTAATCCTGTACGGTTAGTCACAGAATGGGTTTGTGTTGGAAAACCAGAAGATCTAGTTCCAACATCCCTGCCATGGGTAGACACCTTCCAGTAGGCCAGTGGAAAACCCCATCCAACATGGCCTTGAGCACTTCCAAGAAGGGGGCATCCAGAGTTTCCCTGGGCAGCCTGTTCCAGTGTCTCACCACACTCACAGTGAAGAATTTCCTCCTTATATGTAATCTAAAGGTAGCATCTTTCAGTTTAAAAGCCACTACCCCTTAATCAGGGAGTGGTGACAGAACAGAAGTCCCTCCCCATCTTTTCCATAGGCACCCTTTAAGTACTGGAAGGCTGCTGAAAGGTCTCCCCAGAGCTTTCTCTTCTCTAGGTTAAACACCCCCAACTCTGTGTGTCTTCATAGGGAAGGTGCTCCAGCCTTCTGATGATCTTCCTGGCCTTCCCCTGAACCTGCTCGAGGAGGTCCATGTCTGTTTTATGCTGGGACCCCCAGAGCTGAAAACAGCACTCCCAAGTAGGGTGTCACAAGAGCAGAGGAGAGGGGGAGAATTTCCTCCTTCAGCCTGCTGGCCACACTTCTTTTGATGCAGCCCAGGATGTGACTGGATTTTCTGGGATGTGAGCACACGTTGTCTCATGTTTAGTTTCCATCCCTAAGTGCTTATTCACAGGGCTGGTCTCAATCCACTCATCACTAGCCTGTACCCTTTTGGGATTGTCCTGACCCAGGTGCAGAACCTTGTACTTGGCCTTGTTGAACTTCATTAAGTTATTCAGGTCCACCTCTAGTCACGTGTCTTAAAAATCTATACTAGAAGTACATGCTTTTGCTGTTTGGGGAGCATTACAGAAACTCTGAAAGACTGCTGACGCTTGTTCTGTGGACAAGTGAGTCATTAAGTTCCTCAGAGTGGACTCCTGGCCATTCCAGATAAGCAGGCCTAGCATAAGATGTGGCCTGACTACAGAAGTGTGCATAAACCTTGTCAAAACAAAGGACTAGAACTCAAACTTATAGATGCAGGTGAAAGCCTAGATGTGATTAGTGCTTAATAGCTCTACAGTCTCCAGGCTGCAGAACAACCATCTGGTATTTAACTAAGGGGATCTTCGGACAGGTACTCTTAACATTGAGTTTCTGAAACTGAGCAGCTGTGATTTGGCCACACACAACAGTGCTTGCCTGAATGACTTATAAGATGAAGCTTTAGTGGCTACTTAACTGACTTTGAATACTTATTACTGTAATGTATTGGCTAATAGGATCTCTCCTTTTGCAGCTGTGTTCCTTGATCTTGTGTACTATACAGCAAGTCCTATATAAAACTAACTGTATTTTTCTTTCTGAACAAATAGGAAGCTAAAGAGATTCTGTTAGTGGATCTAAACTCTGAAATTGAGACCAAACAGACTTTTACAAAAGAAGATCTCTTCTTGAATGACATCACAACTTCTCTTCCACAACCAAAGCCACAGACACACTTCTTGCCTGAGAGTGCTTTCTGTACCAGTCTCAGCTTCTTTCCCACACCTAATTCAGACCCTTTCAGTGATGATCCTTTCACACAGCCAGACCAGTCTGCACCACCTTCATTTGTTTCTCTAAACTCTGCTGATCAGAGGGAAAGTCTGAGTACCTTGGCACCAGTGGGTCATGGTGATACTGACTACTTTGATAAACGGTTTGACCAGATTTCCAATAGAACTCACAAACTGTATGCAGTAACAAGCAAATCTCAACCTGAGAGTAAGCTGCCTGCAGCAAGAGCTCCAAATAGGGTACCAGAGGGAAAACAGAGTGGCTTTCTTAAAACCCTATCAAACCTACTTGTGGAAAGTCCTCCCACAGGAATATCTCTGGAGAATGAAGTAAAGCTGGATTCTGAAAGCAATATCCAGCCCATGTCAAATGAGTCTGTAACAATTAGCCCACCACCCCAAAGTACCAAGCCAGGAAGAGGAAGGAGGTCTGTCAAGGTGAACAATGTTCAAGTAATTAATGGTCACATGCATGCCCTTACTTAGAGAAGCTTGGTGAAGGAGGCTTTTCTTTCTTCATACTGTGTAGCTGACTAAATAGCTTCACAAAACACCTACTTCTCTTGTATATGACATGCTTACTCTAACCTCTCTGCAGCCATGGTACTTTCTAACATTCATGAATGCTTCATAGTAACTATGGTCACTAAATTATATACTCTCTTCCTTACTGCTGCCATATTTCTGTAAAGGTCTGGTGAGTATGCTGCTATGCATATTGGCACTTGATATGATGCTAGAACCTGTTGTAATAGCTGTATGCCAGTCAACACATGGTTTCATAACGGTGAGGTCCTGGTACTAGCTTACAGAAAGCTATGTAGTTTCTCAGTACCTGCCTACTGGGGGCAATCTAAACTGCTTGATTTAGTAGACACAGAGTGGCTCTCAGCTGCATCTGTCTTGTACTCAAAATGATGCAAAACTGTTGCTGATCTCACAGAAGTGCAGGGGTCTCTGTAGACTGAACAGGAATGTTTAGAGTGGTGGGGACAGCAGGCAATCTCATTGTGATAGCAATTAAGTTACTTCAGGTGTTGTTCTGCTGTTGACTTGTGATTACTATATATTACACTTACTTAATGCTGTGCATCCAGTAGGCAGAATCAAAATGGTGACCTTTGAAACTCTTTTACCTGGTCTCTAAAGGATACATCTCAAAGCTTCCTGCTCTGCTTTAGCTGAAATAAAAGCTTGTAGCTCTGGACTAGAGAGCCTTGATCATGCTAGCATGTGTTCTGCCATGCCATCTCACAAAGCTGCCTTTTTTTTTTTTTTCTCTTCTAGACTGAATTGACTGACTTATTTAGCTCAGACTTCTTTGCACCAGCTACAGAGGGCTTTTGTGTGACCCCAGTGGCAGAAACAGGACATGTGCCAACTCTTCCACTGGACCTCTTCCAAAGAAATTCTTCAGCATCTCAGTTGGTCTGTGTAGGTCAGTTCATAAAGTGAAGGTCTTGCTCCTGTTTAAGGTATCTGCTAACACACAAAAAAGGGTTTCTAGTTTTCCTTTATTTCATGTGTGGTACCATGTCCTTTAATCCATGTGCTGTCTTCCCTAAATGATTAAGTTCTGTGAATAGAGTTCTTAACTGGAACAGGGATTTTTGCTTAGTCTCTGATAGCACACTGCTGTTTCAGGTACACAATGTTCGAGTGAGCCAAACACAACCTGTGAGGCTAGGGTAACACTGCTGCAGAGTTGAGTGATCATTTACACAGGAGTAACTAACTATATGGCAAATGCCTCTGTCACTTCTGTGCTAGGACTAAGGATGTTCCTCCTTGTGTTATATGAGCTTCAATTCTGTTCTTCCAGGACTGAAATGGAGCACAGTAAAAAATATTAACCCCTCTTCTCCTCACCCTCTCAACTTTATTTTTAAGTGTAAATCAACAGATTTTTTGCAAACAGTACTGAAAAGTGTTTTTATGGTACCCTCAGTAGAATTGACACACATGTGCTTGAGGTCTTCATATCACTGAATTGGTGTGTAACAACAATCTCCCCCTAGGTGGCTTGCCAGTAACTCCATCACCATGGAGCACACAGTCACCTGCCTTCACTCCTACTTCATCAGTCTTTCCTGGATCTGCGATGTCTCCTCAGCCTACCGGGTTTACTCAGCCACTTGGCTTTAACTCTCCACCACTGCCAAAGTGGCAACAGCCTGCATCTTTTGGCTCAGTAGGCCTTCAGTCCTCTGGTGTCTGGGGATCACTAACACAAGTTGTATCTACTTCGTGGGCACAGCCATCCAGTGCTGTAAATTCCTTCCAGAGTAGTGTCTTTTCACCTTCACTGCCACCTGCTCAGGCACCAGCTGTATCAGCCTCCTGGTTAACAACTAGCACACATCAGCCACCATATATTACTGCACCTCAGAAGGAGCTGACCAAGAAAGAGAGTGATGCTTTTATTGCTCTGGACCCCCTTGGTGATAAAGAGATAAAGGATATCAAGGAAATGTTCAAAGACTTCCAGCTGACAAAGCCACCTGCAGTACCAGCAAGGAGAGGAGAGCAGCAAAGCCTTCCAGGTGCTTCTAGAACTTTCAGCACTTACTTTACTATTAAAGTAGGCATTCCTCAGGATATTACAGATCATGATGAGATAGGAGCTAGCAAGCTGACAAAACGATTAGTAAAATCTTTTTATTTTTTCCTTTCTGCTTGGATAGCTGCTTGGGTGTTTTGTCATTCCTGATGGAACAAAACATTTGATTTAACAGTTACTGAAATAGAGGGTTGAAGGACTGTCACCCCGATAAGCTTACAGAATTGGTAAATTGGCCAATCACTGACACCTAGTGCCTAAACTAATTGACAAGAATGAGGTAAACTAGGTCTATACGATCTTAGAAGTCCCATCTACCTTAGGTGTAGTGAGGGACAAGGAGGACTTAAAATTGTGAGGACACTCAAAGCAAGTTCCTCTTGGTTTTTCTGTGTCTAATTAGATAAGCTTTGGTGCTGCTACACAGGCAAAGCTGAGTTCATTACCTGAATGATTATAGCAGTATGTCTCTTTTCCTTAGAACCACCGAAGCCTGTTCCCCAGCAAGGTGTGCTGCCAGCTGATGACCCAGTCTTTTTCAGTGCCTCACTTGTAAGTAGGAAAAAAAAACCAAAAACAAACTAAAACAACAACAACAAAAAAAGTAAAACCATCATCAACAGGCATGCCTGTGTTTGAACACTAGCAAAATATTTAGTTGTGTGGGTCTGTAACCAGTTCCCCAAGCTGCAAGCCCTAGCAGGAGGTTCTTTGGTATTGTGAGTTTCTACAAAAGACTGTAAAATGTAGCTGCAGAAGTCTTCCACTCTGGTTATACTTACCTTTCTGTAGAGTAAATGAGCAGTGTAGTTCTGCTGAGCCAATGGGATGATACCATGTTCAGCATGCCCTGGGGGAGGAAGTGCTTGACCACATGAGCCCACTGGGGACACAGCACTTGAAGCCCTCTTCTGCTGACTTCTTGCCCAGATAGGAAGGATATTACCATTAATGGACAATGCATGAGCCAGATCACTCCCTCTGGTCTTAGATCATGTAAGAGATCCAAGGTGGCCCACCACTGAAGGAACAAGTAGACCAATGTATTCACTTACAACACACAACATAGCAAAGGAGGGAGCGAGCTGATTCCAAAACCAGGCCATGGGGGAAGGAAGGACCCAGGCGATCAGTCCAATCCCAATCATACAGTAAATGTCAGGAGAAAGCATCATAATTCCCTTCCAGTCTTGATTATGTCCTGCTGTTACTGGGAACTCTTCTTGCTGTAAAAAGTTGTGGAGCCAATAACCAAAATCCCCACACAGTACAGCTGTTCTGTGGGCAGACCTCCCACCTGCACTGTAAGTAGTCAGTTCTTAGAGAGGTGGCTTCTTGCCCTGCCTCCAAGTTGATGTGGAAGGTGGGGGCACCTGGTGGCATCTCCTAATTGGTTCCCACCCAAGGCTGGCCAGACTCTGGGGGACACCAATCAGTAGGGTCTTTCTTGCCTGGTTGTGGACATCATCCATATGCCAACCCTCATTCAGGGCTGGGGGTTTAACTCCAGCATTTCAAGCCCCTGGTGGAAATTCTGGATCAATCCTGGAATGCTGACTTCAGGTGTCTAGTATTTGGTTAAACCAGAGATCTCATTATGACTACACTGGCTCAGTTCCAAATGAGTGTTTAGTAAACATGATGTTTTTTTCTGAAAGATAGCTTGCCTCAGTATAGTGTAACTGCTAACACTCCTTTCGTGCCCTTTTCTCTTGTGAAAGCAGTACAGTTAATATGTATTTAGCAGGAACTCTGCAATATTATTTCCAGAAGGCATTTGGGATGGGATCTAACTGATAATGGCATGCAGAGTAATCCTGATGAAACCTGAAAATCCACTAACAGCCCATGATCTCTCTTTCCTTAAAAGGAACCTCAGAAATCGCCTTCTGACCCTTTTGGCAACCCATTTGCATAGATCAGGTAAGTTTTCCACCGATAAAATGAGCTCCTTCATTTTCCAAAATTGATTCAGAAAACCTTTGGTAAAAGCTTGCTAGAAAGCACTCTAGCTTAACTGTAGTGCTGCTCTGAAGTACAGCAAACAGTTCCCAGAATGTCTGCTAAAGTATCTTTACTAAGACATAGCTCTAGTCTGGCAAAGCCTAGACTGCTTCAGTTCCTTAGAAGTGAACACTTTATTCTTCCAGATTTAAGTCTCAAGGCCACAGTAGATTTCCTTCCCTTGGGAGAAGTAAATATGTGCTGCAAAATTTAGAGGGGCTTACTAAATTCCTTCAGATAGCACACAGTGCCCCACACAGCTTTCTGAAGTTTAATCCCCTAAATAACTGGGTTTGTCCTCTGGGTGAATTGGAGTGAAAATTAGTAAGGGCTGTTATGATAGCTTTTGCTACTAGAAACTTACATAACTCAAACTTTTGTAGCATTGGCTAAAGAATATGAACTGTCAATCAAATCTATTTCTCTGCCACACCTTTAAGTCTTCTCATGAAATGCTGGCCATCTTCTAACAGAAGACAGGTGTTGCTGTATATTGCTTTGGTTTCGTTCTCAATGGCTCTATGCTAGCTTAAGCAATAGAACTGTAATTTATAGCCGTTTAACCCTAAGTCCTTTCATCATACCAGGCATAACCAGAAAGACAAATGGAATAACTAGACCTCTTCTCAACATGACTTTTCTAGGTTTCACTTTGCTGTCTGCCAGTCTTGCTGCTGTTCCACGATGTCCATAATCTAAAACATCCAGGTGGATTGAAACACCAAACCCTCAAAGCCTATACTGTGAAGATAATTCAGGGCAAAGCAAATGGAAAATCGGACTGACACTGGAGACCTAAATTCAAATTGGTGGATATTGCCTTTACTTCAGTTCTTTGCGGTCTTACAGAACAGCTTAGCAAAACCAAGTCATGTGTCCTGTAAGCATGGTCACCACAATTCGTCTTTCTTCAGCACTTTCTGCCCTAAAATACAGAAACTGCATGTTCCTGGGGGAAGTGTTGCGCTCATGTATGGGTATTGAATTAGCAGCTAAAATGCCACACTTTAAACTAGTTTGTCAATTACGTGTTATGACAGAAGTAGCTAGTTGTAAAGTTAAGTGGATGCTGCTCAGTTTTAATTATTCTAATCTAATAGGACATATGATTTGGTCTCTGAGCTAAAAAGATGTAAGCTGTATAGTACTGGGGAAGAAAATCCAATGCTTGTCTATTTAACTAGTAGTAAAGGTACCATTCTGCCATAAATGATAATGAAGGGACTAACTGGTGTCAGAACTGCTGGAGTCCTGAGTACTCGAGGTCTACACTGTAGAGTCAGTTAAGCTGTGCTTGCAGAAGATTAGGAGTAGAGGCAATAACTGTTTGTATGGGTGCTAACACAGCTTTTTCAGGGAGGGAAATATACTGGAATTACTTTTCGTGAGGCTTGGCAGACAAATGGAACAAGCAGATGGGCTTCTTGCATGTGTCTTGGTGAATGTACTTGGTTTTGCTCACTGGGTTGTCACGTGGTGTAGTGTAATGTTTCCAGCATCTTCAAAAGCAAAAAGACAATCGTGGCTTCACTGTGTGCCTAGACTCCTTGTGAAAAGATACACCACCCTTGTGCCTTGATGAGTGATAGTCCACCATGTCTTGAAAGCGATACCTCTTATAAAGAACCTCTTTATTAACACATCTTTAAGTTTGTTATAACTGACGGTAAGAGCTATGTTCTTGGCCAGTGGTGGTGTCTGAGGAGTCAGAAGTTTTTCTGCTAATGCTAAGTGTAAACTTGAAATAATATTGTAAGATCAAATGTCTAAGCAGTTGCTGGAGAGTTAAGAATGTCAAGTTGAATACAACCTTAGTACCCGATTCAGCCAGTCATGCAATTAGTCTTGTATACAAACCTCTCTTGCACTTTCTGTAATGCAAAAAAAGCCATGAATTTAAGCTTTTGTCTCAAACTGGAAACTTGGGGATGTTACATTGTTGTATAAAACTGTAGTATGTCAAGTGGTGTCACCTAACGACATTAAACAGAAGCAGCATTTCTTAGCAAACCAGCATGTGGCTGATAATTCCTTCATTACTCAGTCTTGTGGTCTAGAGTGTGTGGAAGAACTTTCTGGT